TGGATACCCAAGAAGCAGAAAAGCAAAACAGAATCGAGGACCGTAATCATGCATTTCCTAAATCACAGATATCCTAAAATTGCTCTTAAGTCTTAGGCACTTTTCATAATGAGTACGAGATTCAGAAGAGGGACTGTTTGTTTCATATTGCTTTTGTGATGCACTCATTTTTTGAGTTTGTCACATGAGTCCATTTGTTAATTTGCCACAATTTTTTCAAATTGACTGCAGATTTCTAAACAAAGCCTGAGAACCAAGAGACTAAATCTACTCTTATGTGTCAAATGCAGCTGCTCAGATCACCCAATACAAATCCCTGGCAGTATTGGCTCTCTCACCCAAAAATAACAAAGAAACTTCCCAGACACAAAGAAGCAGGCAAAACAACGCTGCCAGTTAAAAAGCAAGATTTAACAGTTCTTACATCATAGCTCTGATCTTAATTTCAGATTTGAAGGTGCTGACGTAGATGAAAAATTAGCAATGTGACAAATAATCAGTCTTCTACAGACAGTCTTGTTTTAATTATGAGGAGAACATGAAATGATTAGGAGTTGCCTGGGATTGTGGCTATTAATAGATTTGAAAAAGAGCTGCTTTACTTGATGTGCTCTTGATGGCCGGATCCTTTCACAGTTTTAGCCCCCCAGCGCTGCTCTTTCTCACTCACGTCATTCTGTGAAGGACACACAAAAAGCGTTAACAACCCAAAGATGTTACCAGTTATTCATAGCAAAACCTGCCAGAAGTCGGCAAGATCCAAGAATCAGAAAACCAACTACTTCTGCTTTCGCTTCTGCAAGCACTGTGCATTTCCCATTGCAGAAAGCACTTTCTATCCCAAAAAGCTGCTGCTTCAAATCACACAAGTGATTGATTTAAATCACTTCCCTGCAGACTTCCCTGCAGCATCCAAGCAAAACAAGATAGCTTTGTTCATCCCACACAGAAAATCCTAATTCTCTCCTCTTCCAGGAAGATGCTCCTACCAGTTTGTCTTGCTTAGATATACCCAGCCCCCCCCCCACTGCAGAATTTCAGCACGTTACACCACACAGTTGCAGTGAATAGATGAGATCTGAAAGCCGTACCACAAAGTCGGGATCTGTCTCCCAGTCATCTGCTCCATCATCCTGGCTGATGGCAATGGCGTGCCCTGCGGTAGCCTTCCACATCTGCAACACCACCAGAAGCAGCACCGTCACGCTCCCGTTACACAGAAACTCACTTTACCTTCTGCGTATGCTGACAGAAGCACAACCCAAAATTCCAAGCAAAGGACACAAACATCAGCTATCTCTGCAGTCGTTGGCTCTCAGACTGTTTGGACCACCATATCCTTAGTTTTTGCTACTAGCACTGCAGAAAGATTAGTGGCAATCAAAGATTAAATTTTAAAGAGACCAAGGAAGCCTCTCCTTGCCCAAATTAACACATGGCTTTTCTTCACTTAGTGGTAGCACCCTTTGTACCTCTGCACTAAAGTCTTCTGTTCAGGCAGCTTTCCTGTTCCATTTCTACTCCTGAGGAGTGCTGCTAATTCCGGACCCTGTGCACATGCTTAGGGCTTAGCAATAGCTGTTTTCCACCAGTGCTCCACGTGCTGCCTCAGACATGCGATGGGTTTCAAGAAATCCAAACAACTACAAGAATTTGCACACAATCTAGACACTGATCCACTTGCCTGCAACAACAGGGTATGTAAGTTGCTGCATTTCTCAGATAATCCCCCGTGAAATGTGCAAAAGTCAGCGCCCCAGCTGACTTGCGGGAGAAGCAGAGGGCAAATGCTGGTGTGATGATAACAGGAAGCAAAAGGCAAGCAATAACATCCCCCAAAAAACATTCAGAGCATGTTAGGTATCACCTTTTCTGGAAATACTATACCCAGTAGAGTATCAGGTTGGGCACTTTAATTAACACTTCTGAACATGACCAGGGAGCACAGTGTATCACCTACTTGGTGCTAGTGGCTGTATTTTACAAAGCTTATTCAAGAAAAATTATATTTCTTATATATACATATATATATTTCTGAAGAGCCAACAAAAGACAACAACAAAATGCTCTCTGTTCTGCCAGCTTTTTCATGTTTATGAGTCAGAGGAAGGCCTTTTCTTCATACTTGTGCCACTAGAGTACAGTTCTTGAACACTCCATCATCCTATTTACCTTCACTTTTAAAATTAGGAATAGTTTATGAAGGTTACTAACGTGGACTATTTCTTTTGCACAAATGTAACTCAGAAGGTAGAATGGAAATTCCATTTTAAATGTGTAACTAGTAATTTGCAGTGAAGTTTGTACTACAGCAATAAAACCCTGCTTGCTCTGCAGTCTAACAGAATGAACCAGCAGAGCAGCACATCAGAAATGCCAGGATTTGGAATAAGAACAAGAATGATCGAGAAATAATCAAACCAACAACAGCAAAGCACAGACTGCTCCTGGAGAGGCACGAGAAGAGAGCAGAGCACACTCTGACAAAGCAGCAGTATGTTTGCTATCCCTTTTGTTCAGGTCTCTCACCTCCAAATTCCTACGACAACTGAGAAGTACCATTTGATGAACCACTTAATATCTAAAAACCTTGTAAGACCAAGTAATTATAATAAAAACCTCCAGGGCAGCTTCCTTCCCCAGGTGCATAGTTCAAGGCGCTTGCTTTTCTTTTTGTCTTGCAATTCAGTTACGTTTGGCAGCAGGAGGGCTACATCTTCAGGTCAGGATTTCTCTCCCTCTTCCTCCCCAGATGCTCACAGACGACAGCCGAGGAGGAGAGGACTTCAAACACACACACACCCTCACAGAGCCCAGCACCACCAGGTTTAGCCCTGCACAGAGGCACAAACGCCTGCCCCGGCCCAGCCCCGCACAATGCACGGCCAGCTGCGAGCCGGTGGGATCAGGCCCGGCTTGCACAGCAGCCCATTGCTCCAGCATCTCTTCCAAGGCCGGATGTGGACGAACATGATCCGCCTGTGAGTCAGCGACTCACATGGGCAAATTACTGAAGGAAAACCAGAATATTATATTTCCGGCGTATCGAGGCTAGAAATAAGTTCGGAACCCATCTGGCCAGCTCCGTCCTTCGCCCTGCCGTGACCAATGGAAGCCGCCGGACCCCCCAGCACCGTCCGAGCAGCGGCCATCGGCAGGGCCGCGCCGGCACTGGGACAGCAGGGCGGGCAGAGCCCACCGCCGCGCCGGTCCGCGGGCACCCAGGGCCCGCACCGCCCCTCGGGGCCTCTCAGAGGATGCCCGGGCCGGCAGCCCCGTCCCGCCCCGCCGGCAGCCCGCCCCACGCCCCGCCGGGCCGCACGTCGCGCCGCCGAGCCCGCAACCAGCGCTCCCTGTGCAGCCGAGGGCCCTGGGCTCCCCCGCCGCACAGCCCGGCGCCCCCCGCCCCGCGCTTACCCTGCTGGCCGCCGGCTGCCGCGGCCGTGGCTCCCGCGGTGCTTCCCGGGCGGACGGCGGCGGCGATTTCCGCTTCTCCCGAGCTCCCACTTCCTCTTTCCGCACGGCGGGGCGGCCCCAGGTGGGAGATGGCCGCCCGCGCCGCCCCGCCCCGCCGGCCGGGGCGCTTCCTTAGCCCAGAATCCTGGCAGAGCGGTGCAAACCAAACGAGAGCGGGCTGCGGCTTCGAAAAGGCCCTGTCAGGAATTTTAAGATCACGTTCAAAATTCATTTAGTTATAACAGTGCCTCTTGAGGGGCTTCCCTTATCAGGGGGTGAGAGGCCCGCCCGCCCGCCCGTGGTTGTTCACAGGGTGTCTGCATCGAATAGGTGCTGAAAACAAAACCCCCACCCTCATGTTTGAGGTCTGAAAGCAGGACACTGCCTTCCTGATGGTTAAATATTTGCCCATGATTTATTATCTTTTGGGGAGGGGGAAACAGGAGGAATGACGTATCTAGTGGGAGAAAAATACACATATGTAACACACACAATGTGAAATAATCCAGGCAAACAGAGTTTTGCAAAGTATTGGAGGCAGGAGCGTGACTTACCAGCTCCTCCAGTCACGTGAAGGCAGTCTGCTCAGTGTCAGCCTCAATTCTTCTTATATGAAACAGAACTTACTCTACATTCAGAGCTAAAAACTGGGCTGAACTCACTCTAAGATACACGCAGGAATATCAACCCAGCACTTTTATCCATTCCTATAAGAATGTCCTATAAGGGTAGATGCTGCTATTTAAGTTAGGCTCCATTTGCTGCCCTTTGCAAACAACCACCATTAGTAAAATTTATAACGTCTTTACTTGAGGTTAGCCAGTACACCAAAACCATAACCTTGAAAAATGAAATACATTATCCGTTTGAAGGCAAAGTAGTTACTATGTTCAACAAAAACATCATCTCTCAACTAATTCTTCAAATTTAACGCTGTACCTGAAAATTATCCCTGCTTCCTTCCAGACTACTTAGTTCCAGCAGATCCCATAGCAGTCCCTGGTGTTTTGAAGGCAAGATCCATTTTAAAGGCCAGCCAAATTCATTAGGACTTCAAGCAGGCATAAGCCAAGCAAAAACTCAGCCTTGAATCATCTCATTTCTGTCATGAAAAATTACTGCTCTCCATCAGACATTGCAAAAACCACCTAGTCTTCCAATTTTATAGTGGTTAGAAAAAATAGAGATGAAGTTATACTAACTGTTTTGATATTTACCTGCCTTCTTAATGTGAAAAAAAAAGTTTAAAGTCCTCAGGTAATTCAATCATCTTTATTGCAAATAAAAAAGGGTTCTCACATTTTAAAACACGTTTTCATAGCACTTCACAATTGAAGCCTTTAAAGACATTTGGCATTTACAGAAAAAAAAACAACAAAAAAAAATCACTGAATCAAGATTTAAAGATTACTCCATGTGCCTTTTACACATGCAGTTGCAATATCCTTCTTTGTGGGGAGTTATTAAAACAAAATAGTGTTTTTCTCAACTTCCCTGGGATAGGGATAGCTTTGCCATGTAATTCAAAGGAAACCAACACACAGTTTTGCAATTTTTTTGAAAGCTTTTTCTATTTCACTTTTATTCTAGCTCTCATGTTGATTCCATTGTTCCGTAACAGTCAGGGTTCACAGCCTTAAAGTAATAACCACATTTTCCCATTTTACCAGTCTATTCTGCATTTTCACTTTTGAGAAGCAACAGTACATGACTTTGAATACGCCTACCATCATATCAGCAACCAGAGACACACACGCTATTTTTTCTACCTGCTTTGCTAAACAGTGAGACGAGATTTCCTTCTGCAGTTTCACCTTAGTTTTTTTTCCAGAAAGATAGCTTTTCAGAAAATATAAACGTCTGCCACTTATCAGACAGCAACACAAACAGACAGTCATTATTACTAAACGACGTTTAAAGCATTGATCACAGTATTTCCATTCCAGGCATTCCACATCCTGCTCTGGATCTAGAGGACATGACGAAATACGCTTCAATTGCTCAGCAAGTTTATTTGTCTCTTCCCTTTTACACAAGAAATGGTTTACAACATATCTTAATTGAAATAAGCAGCCCTATTACGACCCAGGTTTTCATCGGTTCCCTGGACTCCTATGCTTCCCCCCAAATATCATTACTGTCAATTTCATTTTATTAACAAAGCAATAATTGCTGCTATATGTAACAGCACTTCAATTTTCATCACACTGACCAAAATACAGTGAAGTTATATTAGAGTTTCATTGGAGGGAGGAGGGCATTGTGGGGTGAAAAAAGAAGTAAATCATAGCTCTAATGTCAAAGTACTGAAGTACTGTCCAAAAAAGTCTCAACACAAACTTGAACAATTCCCAAGAGAAAGTCACTTCTAATGTAAAATTTTCCTGCTGGAGAAGAATCTTCATGTGAAACAAGATGTACAGGGCAGCAAAGAATCATTAAGATGCTTTATTGACAAATATCCACTCACCGCAAAAAGTATCTGCCTGCATACAATTAGATTTTAGCTTTTCAATAGTGTTTTATTGGCAGTGGAAAATGCATCAGTACTTTATTGAAAGAAAGCAATAAATAATACTGTGATAAAAATAGTTCAAAAGTAGACTGTACATATTGTTACATAATCTGAAAATACACAAGATTAATAGAAAAACAGAACAGTAACAATGAATTTGTTTTACAAGCAAGTTAAAAGTGGAAAACAAAATAAGAAAAAAAGACATGCTATATATATATTGTTGCATAATAAATAATGCACCATCTGAACAGAATCTTGCTGGCTTTTTAATATGCCATTTGCAAGTGTTGGGATACATTTTTCTACTCATACAGTCCAAAATGGCTACAACCATTCAAACTTAAGTCCAGACAACTCTTTAGAACAAGTTTACAAAACACAAAATATGATTTACGTAAGAAAAGTAAGGCCTTGATTAGGAGTTGCACTGCTTTAGTTCTCAGCACACTGTACCTTCATTTTCACTAGTCATTTGACGTGAGACTGCAGTGTTTCATGACTGGTCCATGAAAATTAGTTTTACCAGCATCTTTCCACAAGTGTTTTCAGTCAAAAAAAGATCAGCACAAAAGCACTCTCTGTGGCCTGTGGATTACAACCAGGAATTATTATGAAGTCTATCTTCCTCAGTTAAGAAAAACAGTTCTTGGTTTATGGCTTGGTTCTCAGTCACTGTGAAGATATGCTATACAAATACAGCAGAGACAGAGTTGTGACCGAGGCAATCACTTCTAAAATGTGTTCCATAGTGTTCTAGTTCTTCCCAGCTTTTCAAACGAGTTATATTTTAAATAAAGACAAATTCCCACTGCTTGACAATTCCTTTGTGGAAAGGTACACTTCTGAAAAGAAGAACAATTATGTACCATACCTTCAACAAACAACATACGCTTGTCTGAAAAAAAGCTGGACTTGTTTTCAGATCTAGCTAACATTTCCAAAAGACAAAATATATACTGCTTGGTGTCATGATACTTTTACAAAGGTATTAAAATTCTTTTCACCTTCAGTTTCATTATTAAAAAACAATGATAATTACAGTAACTGCATAATTTACAAAAACCTTACATTATTTATAGGGACATATACATACAAGCATTACAGTACATTCAGTTGGAAAGACTAAAATTAGATTAAAAATCAGCAATGATTCATTGTAGACTGAATAGAAACAGAAAAAAGTAAGTAACTATATAAATGAGAAGTCACATAAATATAAGAAACATTTAGATTCTAAAATATTTTCTCTATAGTACTCATGAATTTATTTGCTAATTAAAAACTCTGTAATAAAATATCTCAAAGTGTCCATTTAAGAAGTATTAACAGGTTACGCTTTCCAAATGTTCAAAATGCTGCATATCACCGGTAGAAATAGTGTGGGTAAACTGCAAAATAAAGAAATCCTTGGATTAGAATGAAATGTTGCTAAAACAAACACAAACCATTTGCTAAGTTCCTCACAAACAACTCAGTAGTGTAGCAGTCATGCACCAAATTATTGCCATGCCACAACATATACCATTTCATTGCATATTATTAATTTCAGTTGCAAAGTAAAGCACGAGGTCAAGTACTTCCTAGATTTTTCATTCTAGGTCATTTGCATCATAATCCTCCACACTGAGAATTTTCTAGTGTGTATATGGGTGAAGACTCTAAACTTTGATGTCTTAAAACTAAGAACATTAAGAAAACCCCTGAGATTATATACACTGACAGATCCACATAGTTTTAGTTGCTGAGAACTCTTTAGAGCTAAACCTGTATGTGTGAAAAGGTTCAGGATTTGAAGAAAAGGCAGCCACTATACATGAGTTGGTACGGATTTTACTGGTGGAAAGAAAGAAACTGTACACAGAAGAGATAGAGATGGGCAATTTATTCCCATAGATAACTGCTAGTGACAGAATATTTTTTTATTGGATTTCTTCTATACCCGACAGTCAAAAATGTTAGTTTCCAAACTTGTTTGTAAGAAAAAAAATCAAGCCACATCCTCACGACAGAACTGAATGTCTATTCACTAGCCGGAAGACATTCATTTTTTGTTTAAATATCCTTTGTTATCAAGCTGCTTCACTGTCACCACTGTTCCACAATTACCCAAACCTTGGACTGCAGGAAACTAAATCCAAACAGACAAACTAAACAATCGCAGTGGTATCTGAGAACTGGAAATCAATGTAGTTACCCCATAAAAATTTCAATATGGAAGATATTGCAGTATATTTGACCAAGCAAAGACTGAAAGAATCTGAATCACAATACCGCAAACTGAGTTTTCTTTCCACTATATCCCTAATTTAGTTCCCTTCCTCCCCACTTTCACTAGCTGTTTCACTTCACCTTTGACTTCAGCGCTTTCTACACAATCACTTGCATGCATAATCTTTTCTGAGGTGATTTAAAAAAAAAAAAAAAAAAAGAGGAATATCACAATGTACAAAAGAAAATACTGAAACTCAGTTGTCTTTGTAAGAAATAAGCTTTATATTTTGAACAATCTACTCTGCAAGTTGAAAAGCCTTTAAAATTCGTTCTATTAAAACACCTGACACTTTACTCATAAATAGCTGCTTTACCATTACACCTATCAACTTTACTCACCAGAAGAAGGCTTTAACAGGAGTAGGTCCTTACTGTAGCAGAATCCAATCTTTGTGTTCCTGATACACTGCCTATTTCAAGAAGCATGGGAAAACATGCAGAACACAGCATGCATGTTAGTTTTCAAAAACCACCACAGCAGTGTGATTATAGCTACTACACTCACTGACAAGTTACAAGTTAGAAAATCTAAATTTACTGTACAGTTTATATATTTTTCACTTCCAGTTTCTGTGGCTATTGAAAAGAATCCTAAAAAAGACCTGCATGCCAACTGGCACACGAACTGCCAGTGGTGTGTATATATATATTCTAATACAGTAAGAAGAGGTGTTTTAATGTAAGAAAGTTTTATTTATACATAGTTTTTCATATGAATTCTGGAAGATGTTTTGTGCTAGTGAAAATCTTTAATGTAAACCAACTCACATTTTAAGTAGTAAAGGTAATAATATCAGGTGTAAAGGGTGGTTGTTTGATTTTTACTCCAATATACTCCTCAGAACTTGGGACAACTCTGACAGACTATGAGGAAACTCACATCCTATCTATTCCAATTAAACATATTTTCAATCTATTTTTTACTTGTTTTGTAAGAAAAATTGAGAATTTATTCTCATGGTATTAGAGACTGGTTTTAAACTGACAATATAATTACTCTGACAGATCTCACTTCCAAGTGTTGTTTCTTTTTCTTTTCATACAGTGTTTTTGCTCCCTCTTTTTCTTTTTCCCTTTACATACAGAGAAGGGAGACATCCATCCATATAAATCATTCTAATAAATAATTCTAAAATAGTGGTTACAAATACACTCAATAGTTAAATGACCACTGGGGGGGAGGAATGTACTTTTTTCTCAAGTTGTAATATTCTCATGTCTGAGAGATATAACATTTCCTGAATGCATTTTACTGCATTTCAGATGTGGGACCAATTAAATTGGTCTAATTGCTACTAATTCAAAACCATGCGTCACATTACAAGACTTCTAACTAAATGCCCTTTTACTTTCCCAGTTTAATAAAATTTCCTGAATATAATTATCTTTGTTATTCCAATGAAGTAAAAAGAACCTCCTTATCTAGCACAGTTCCTGAAATTACAAAGCACTCTGTGGTTAAACAGTGTTACAAATACAATCATGCACAAGGCAGATGCTTTTACAGAGCAAAAAAACTAATTTGAACTTCATTTCCCTATAATCTCAAGCAAGAAAGTGCATCATGCTTAAAACAATCCAAAGTAAATACCATCAATCTGCATCTTCTTTGGCTGCATAGAGGGTGAAGACATTGAGGTTGTAACTCTGAAATTTGCAGGAAGTGTCTCTGCTGATCCAGCAGCTAAACCTCTTATGTCCTTTGGTCTAAACTTCTTTCTCCATGAAGGTGCTCGCCTAAAGCTCTTATCATCATCCTGTTAAATTGATAAACATTAGCAGTTCAAAAATTTAGGACTGTTACCAACATTAAAAGGATTACTGACAATTTAGGTAAATACATCATCATTGAACGACCTAATTTTCAACAGCTCAATTGCAATGGGTCACTGTTTTCAACAATATGTGCTCATTTACTGGAGTGTAGGCTCTTCATCTAAGTAATTATGCAAATTCAGGTGTTTGGCACATCTAGGAAACCCTTGTAGTTCAAATGTTTTTACTTCCCGATTTGTAGTAATTTGCATTGTATCGTCTAAGAATGAGTGATATGAAATGGAACATCTCATAAAAGCTATTTAAGAACACTTCAGCTTAAGCTGAACAGCTGTTTATAACTTTAAATTTTGTTTTACAGGAGTGATGATAGAACTATAGCATGTTCTTATGCTACAAATTGAGGTAATCAGAGTGAGGAGAAAAAAGTTGAACAGCAGTAGTAAATACTGCCGTTCAGAGCCTTGGTTAATTGCCTCGGTAATTACAACTTAAAGATTCCCAAAGGATTCTTTCTGCATTCACATATCTGCATCTTTCAGAAGTATCACACTATAATTAAATGCAACAGTTTAAATCACCCTGCCCAAAAACGCCTCATCCAATGAATTCAACGTACTATATCCACTGTGAATCTACACTTGTCAATTTCACCTTTAGAAACAATTCTATCTTTGGATTGCTGTTTTATATAATATATTACATTTTATAATTAAAATCAGGAGACACGTGCCTTCATTATTTGGAAAGATCTTCATAATCAAATACTTTTGCTGCTCATTGTAACCAGAATAGAGTAGAACACCCCTCCCTCAAAGCTCCATCTCCCGCAGTGAGAAATCACTACTGAAAAATAACTCAGAAAACTATCAGGCTGTTTTCTGTAGAGATGATTAAAAGCTTAGTGTAGATACATACTAGGCTATCAGGATGTGCCATAGAAGGGCTAAACAAGTGTAGTTTTGTATCTTTATTTTCTGTCACCCAAAACTGCAAACGATGCTTGAGGTGAGGCTGCACCAACGCAGTTTCTCACACATAACTTGTTAGAGCTTTGTACTACTTACATTAGAATAATGCGTGTACACTGTAAATCACAGACTGTCTAATAAGAATCACTTGGATAAGCAAACATTTCTGGTCATTGTTCCATACTAGTATTAACAGATAGTAACTCAAGGATAACTTGAGTAACTTGGGATAAAGGTTTGAACTGTACTGTACAGACCTTCTCAGTTATACTTGATTGACCTGCAACGCCAGTGACTGTTTTCCCCACACTTTACATAGGAAAGAATGATTCAATGACAACTGTGCTGCTAGTAGGCTTAACTACACAAGCTACGGATAAACTTGCAAAATCACCTCATGCTTTCACATTCAAAGTTATCTTACACAAAAACTGCCATATCCAAGAATTCACAACAAATTTACAAGTCCTTTTTTTGGTCACAATTTTGTCAGTAAATTGACAAGGGTCAAGCTACATTCTTTGACTTTGCAGTTTGGATATAATTCCTAGAAACACAGAACAACTCAAAAGCTCAAGAAACTTACTTCATCAAGTCTTCTGTCAGTGCCCATAATGAGAAGGTTATTAAATTCCCTCTCCAGAACAGCACGAGCCTAAAATTTAGAGTATGAAATAAAAAATGATTGTTAAAATTTCAGGAGCCTGTATTTCTTTTAAAACAAATTGTTGAAGATCTTCTAATCAGAGTATTAAACATTCTTAACACTTGAAAAGTAAGAGTGGTTTAGCTTTCTAAGTTGTAACATGAACAACAAAAAATGATACGTTTTACACTAAGATGGAATATGAGCAAAAGTTGCAAACAGCATTCTTTTTTTCAAGCAGATTTAACAACTAGAACTGTAACTAAGTGGAAAATAATTAAAGCATAGCTCCGTTTTTTATTTTCACAGGAAAAACGATTAGGAACAACTTTCCATTTCCAATAGCCAGGAATACAAAGACACGCACTTACCTAAAAAAAAAAAAAAAAGAAAAAAAAATAGTTGTTTCCATTTTTATCCTTTCTAAAGGGGAAAAAAATACCCACCAACCATAATGTAAATCTTGCTTACCTGTGTGTTCTGCGTCGGTATTTGTAATAAGAGAGCTAACGCATTGTAATCAAATGTTTCATCTAAGGCCACAAGTGCACCGTGAACTCCACTCTCTACAAGGTTATTCGCATATTCTTTGAGACCAATGGACAACACCCAACGGATCATTCTATCGTTGCTCCACACAAGGACATCTATGCAGGGAAGAATTTGATTTATATAGTGAGACTTTTCTGAACAAAAAAAACACAGTCCTTTCTTGTTCTGCATGTTGGTGTAGGGATTGATATTCATGTATGCAGAACTCACTGTGATTGATGCTAAGCAGTAGCCCTAAAGGAATTCTGTTATTTAATATTTAGGATACAAATTAATCTCCCCCTGCTTTTTTTGAGTGCATGAGATGGTCTGAATTGACAACAACACTTCATGTTTGGACTGCAATGGATTGTTTCCAGTCAGCAGTTTTTGCTACATCCATCACCACTGGATCTTGCACAACCTCCTCTCTCTGCCTACAGAGGAGATTAGTCACATTATTTATGAGAAAAGTACAGTTGGGCAATAGTGTTCATGCAGGTAGGAATCAACATGGATCTTGTATTTTAAACTATCATTTTCAAGTGGCTTAACCTTACTTGCAACAGACTAAATATTTATTTTCTTTTGTACAACTCGAAAGTCCAATAGCAGTTTAATGCATTTCCTATTGAAACTGAACAGAAAAGCTTTATTATAATGTTTTATAATCTTATTTACCTTTAAGTTCTGACAGCATTCAATTTAGTAGCACACACTTTTGTATACACACTACTATAATTTTCTGCAATTCTAAGTGGAAAGGAAATGTATTTGAATTTTGCTGAAGGACATTCACACTGTAAGAGTTCAAAGATCAACATACTGTTAATATACTGCCATTTTTTTCAAATACAAACTCCATAAATTAGTACTTGTACAGCACTAATATCAAAACAATAATTATGTTCTTAATAGGTTTCTGGTGGTTTGTAGTTTTGTGTTGTTGTTATTTGTTTTTACACTACACAGGAGTATTTATACCAATCAAACCAAAACATTTTTGAGGCAGAATGGTGCAAGCAGGATGGATTCAGACTGAGGACAAAACTTTAGTCATTAACCTTTAACTTAACTATTGGTCACCAACCTTTAATTTCAGATTGGCTTTCCTCTCTTTTTCTTTCAAGTTCTTTTCGATCATAGTTCAGTCTTCTTAGGCACATAATTCCACACTGAAAACTGTTTCTGTTTAGAAAGGAAAAAAAGTTATTTAGAGGTAAACAAAATACTTGCTGTAGATGTTTGGTGTCCAGCTTAACCTATTTACCTGTGAAAACTGTCCACCATTTTAAGTTGGCCACGTAGATCTTTTTTAGTTAAGTGATCCAGCATTCGAGCATCAACAAGACACTCCATGAAATAGCTGCGATACTGAGGGAGCCCCAGACTAGGGAGCCATTCATTGCCAATCCACTCGTGGTTCATATCACCATATGCTAATGTCTGTTTTTAAGAATTAAAACATAAGCTTATTAAAATGAGAAATACAGAGAAAAGCTTTTTTAGACAATATGTTTTAAAGAAAGTGATAAAACAATGCTTATAGCGCTAAAAATTCCGTAAACACATCAAAAACATTAAACAGTACATGTAGGTTTTTGAAGAAGCTATCTTCATGAAGAAAAGCAAGCCCAGACAGTCAGATCAGTAAGTAAAACTGCCCTAATATATATCATCTTAAAGAGTATGAAAAAAAATTATGCAACAACATTTAAAAACTAAGGTGTAACTGTTTTAGTAGCAAGACTCCCAGAACTTCATTTTGTTGAGCTGAAAATGCAGCGTTTCTTGAAAAGTGAAGGTGCTGAAAATATTGTCTCTTGAAAATTTAGCAGAAAAAGTAACTTTCTTAAAAAATTACTTAGCACAAAATTACATGATGGGTGAAAAATAACTGTAGTTGTTTGGCTTTTTTCTAATATGCCTAACAGTTTTCAGAAGCAGGTCCCAATTATATAAGCAGAAATTAAAAAGTTCCCTATATAAGAACCAATGACTCTAATTGCTAGCCCTCATTATAATGCTAGACTCCATTTAGACTCCACCTTCATACAGATCTGCAGATCACCAAACATTTTTTGTAGAACACTTCAGAAAACAATTTGAAACTAGGTATCTAAACATTCCTCAAGCAACAAAAAACAGCAGCTCTCTTTTTTCAAAAGAGAAGGCAAATAACTTATTTTTACTGCAGAAGTTAAGTTTTATTTCTTCTCTAGAGGAAACATCTTCTAGAAAGAAGGTGACACAAATGTATTTCTTCAAGCCATCACTGGGTAACAAAATTGAAAAAGCACATTATTTTTGTAATAGGGATACAAGCCATGCTTGCTAACACAGACAATCTGCAAACGAGCACCTGAGAAAAAGTTAATGGGACTTGAACAGGTTTAAACTGGAAGGGGACCACATGAGAAGAGACTGTACCATCCAAAGATATAAGTCACGGGCAAATCCTGATTTCTGTTTATATGCCTGTATAAAAACACCTGAACTTTCTCAATGCCTGAAAATACAATTAGGATCTGTCAAACTTGAAGGGAAAACAATTAATCAAGGGGGATTACATAATTAGTGCACAGAAATCTTCTTAGTTGTCTAGGCTTAGTATGCAGTACACCTGTGATGGTGGCCAGGTTGAGCAAGAACTTTCTGTACGCAACAGATATTCTTACTGGACTGGTGCCCCAAAGAGCCATTTCCCCATTAAAAAATTCAAGGCTTTACATCATTAAATTTTAATTTGATCTAGTTTGTTAAACACAAACAGAATACCACAATACTCAATAAGTAACTTCATTTTGGATATTCAAAAGCTTGAGGACAAATGTTTTTGAAAGCTAATGATAAGAAAGCCTTTGGAATATTTTTCCCTTACCATTCCTATTTAGAAGTGCCACATATATAATTTTTTGTGATACATTATGTAATAAAAAATATTTTACAAATTTTGCCATGATGAACCACCACATCTTGTGAGCTGTATAAAAACATTAACGCTTTTAAACAGCCTAAACATAAGTGTATCCTGTAACTCTGTACTATGTAAACATGTAGTTTCCCTCTTTCCCAGTCCCCATTCTACACCAAGAGTCACTCCATGAAATGGCAATCAAAGAAAATCAGATTCTTTCGTGCTCATTATGACAACACATTGCACGTAGTCTATAATATTACATAAAGTTTCCAACCTGAGCCCAGCTTCCCTCCTCATCTTCCTGTTACGTGGTTAGAAAAGCAAAAGAACACACATATTAGTACTTAAGTTTAGTAATGAGACAAAAGTTAAAGATGCACTGCAAACTCTAAATCTACTGCATACGAAGAAAATCTACATAGTGCATGCATCATGCATTGTGAGAAATACAGAAGACACTCATTGTCCCATAAGAATTTGGAAAACCATCTATTGATCAACTTTTCTGGAAGAGAAATAGAGAAATTTCTGCACAAATAGATCAATTTTATCTCTTAGTTAAATCAAGTCTTTTTTTTTTTTTTTAAACAGATTCTAGAAAGTTTGTTGCTTGTGTGGTTTTTTTAATTTTTTTTTTTTTTTTTTTTTTTTTTTTAAACAGTCTTATCAATGTTGATTTTTTTCCCCATCTGGAAAAAAAAAAAACACATCAATAATCAAATTGTAAGGTTAATGATTAGAAAAAGCCACAATGCAGAATTGTAATGCATTAATTTTTTAAAAAGGATAGAAAGAAGACCAAAGGGCCCTTGGTTCAGTAGTTCAAAAGTGGGAAAAGCACTCTAACGAACAGAAGTGGCAACACCATAAACTAACCGTTTGTTGTGTGGCTGTAAGATTTTCCATTTCTTCATGTGTTACCCAGACATTTCCCGTGGTCTAACATGACCCCACAGTGAACCAATCACATCCAATGAAAGGAAAGCAGTAACAAAGAGGAAAGGTTGCAGAACATATAAGCAATCGGTACATATAAGGAGCAGGCATGGGCAAAAGCAATGGTTTCTAGAAGTTTTAAGTATAGGTCAATCTATCTAACATGACAGCATAGAATAAAAGGCCATTAACACAGATCACTTTTTCTTCAAAGATATTACACAACTGAACATGATAAATAACTTTCATTGATGTAATTAGTGTACCAACATTTGACTGTGCTCTAATCCAAAACATGTATTTGTAGTCTTGTACATAACCTCAGAAATCCCAAAAATAACTTCAGACTGTAGAGTACACAGACTTGAGAGATGGAATTCAACTTTCAGTGTTTAAATTTAACACAATGTATAAGGTACAAGTGGACCCCTAATTCCACACAATATGAATTACTAATCCAAATGAAAAGCCCTGTATACATGGATTTAAAAAGCCTCTATTTTACTACAAACAATTTTACAAATTTCTCTACAAACACGTGAACATCATCTGTATTATGTTTTGTTTCTGAGGTTAAAAGGAGAGACAAATAAGTATTCTAAGTATTTTTAATTGTATAATTACACTAATAGAAACTAGACTTCAGGAAAGCACCACATTCTTAATTTCCAGAAAAGGAGGAAAAGTTGTTCTCCCTGTGATTTGATGTTTCTAGAAATTCTTACTTGAAGCTCAAATCCTTTCAGTTACATAATTATGAAAGAAGATTTAGAAATTCTAATGGTTCTGAAAGACATCTAGTGTTGGATCACTTTCCTTACCGTCCTTGAGGTGGGAGGGGCAGACGGACTTGTTAGTGACATGATCTCCTGAATGGCCAGTCTCAGCTTCAGTCTGTGCAGGGGATTACTAATTCCAATTTCACGCTGTATTTCCGTATCAGACAAAGCTGACATAATAGCACCACTTTTCACATTTGCTCGGCACGCAGCCACATACCAGGCTGGCATCCCTACCCACAGCTGAAACAAAAAAAAAACAGTAGTAACCAAATCTGGAAAGCACTCCTGGCCCCAAAATCTTAAGTTCCTTAAAAATAAGTATGTTCATTATTAACCTATTTTGGAGGGACTGCTTACCTCCAACCATACAACTACTGTAGGTCCATCCCATTGTGCAAAAGGTAAACCTTGTCTTCTGGCTTCCTCAAGCAACTCATGCCTATGATAATAAAAACAGTTCTTAATAACAAAAACTAGTGTAAACAGTAACTTTAACACTGCAATCAAATTACTATCTTCTTGCAAACAGCCATTTTTCTTCACTTCCCAGCCTAAGAGGCACAATGATATAACCAGTAAGGCAGTCACAAGAAATAGACAAGGACTACATAGAGAAATAAGCTGAGCTGGATAGGGAATGTCTGTGTGGCAGAGATGCTGGTTTTGCCTTTAAGAAAACTACAGAAAAACCTGTCTCAAACCACTACTGACACTCAGGCCAAAGCTGCCACCACAAGGTGGAGACGTCTGACTTATCTCTGACAGTTAGACTCTTGATTGCTGCAGTTTTCTAGAACCTCCCAGTAATTCATTCCAGCTAAACACGCTACTAAGGAATGAAATAAATCGGAGGAGGAGCCATCATGTAGCTGGTTACAAGCAGCCATTCTAGTATACCTATTTTAAAATCCAATAGTGCTGAAACAGTGTTCAGCAATTAGCAGCTCAATAATTAGATTACACTTACAAAAAAGAGAAGACTTTAAAAGCTAATACTGATTTGTACACTTCCAAAATATTCATATCTCTAAAGTAAAAACAGATCATGGTTTCCTCCTAGCACAGAACATACACTACATTGATCTCACAAATCATCAGCCCTAAATACATTGCATTGCTTTGCATTACTTGGTATTTTTCTGCTTTTAATTTTTAAATAAAGATTCTATAAAACATTGCTTGGTAAGAAGATATTAAAATGCTTAATGCTGTATTTGCCAGAAAGGAATACAATGTTTTTCCAAAGCAGTTAAATTTTGAAACTGGTGGTTCTGTTGTCCTTTTGGTTAAGTATAGTAACTCGTTCATGCAGTGAGGGCGGTGCACTGGTGACAAAGGAGCACAGATATGCTCAGAGAATCCCAAAGATGACCTCAGGCAGGCATGTGAGCACTGCCTCCCCTCCTCCTACTGGCTCACAAAGCTTTCTGGGGCATGCAGTTCAGAGAATTGCTGCAGTAATTTCCTGTCATTTCAATAGCCTCCCTGCATGCTTTAGGTTAACTATGAAAGAGTAATTGATTTAGAGGTGAGCAGTACAGGGAAAGCACTGAAAGAGTAAGGTGAAGTTATGATGCAGTCATATTACTGTATGCAGAAAATAGTTGTGTTGATGGAAGGAAATGTGATGGAAGTAAACGTAGAAAAATAAGCAAAACAATGTTTATTGGAAGTTTACTTGAATTATTTAATGGATCCAAAAAGTAACGCTTCCATGAAGCAGAATGTTATATGCAGAGTTTGTTCATATACAGTAAGAGATACAAACTCACTTAAATGGGAAATTATTAAACCGAAATTTCAAGACATCTCTTGGGAAGAATTAAGAAGTAGCTGCTGTTGGCATTTGTAAGAGATGCATCAACATTTTGCCTACAGCAGGGAATGTCACTTTTCCAAAAATTATCTTCCAGCTTCACCAGAAAATCACTGTGCTCCAGCAATGAATGATCAAGCTACATAAATAGCACAACTGACATATCAATTTAGTGGCACATCATCCAATTAGACTTTTTTTTTTTTTTAAATGGGTGCAAAATCCATCCTCATATTATCTTTGTCTACTGCAATGACATTTTCAGTGTTAACAGATGATAGATACATAGTCACCACTTTGTAACTTGAAACACCAGATCTCAAAGGGGCAGCTGACTACTGGAATTTAAGTAACAAAACCAAGGGATGGGCATCTAAAATTGGTTGAGCGTTACTTAGAATGGGAGACAAATTGAGGAAAGCTAGTTGTCAGATATATTCAAAAAGAGTCTAACATCAGCCATAGAGAAATTGTGGTCATATAGGAAGAAAAACAATATAAAAAATGCAGGTGCAGTAGTAGTGAACAAAGTGGCCCTTCGAAAACCATCTGAAGTAACTGTATTTACAATGGCTCCCAGCAGGCAAGCATGCTCCGACCCACAAGGAAATGAAGCAGTTCCATGCAACATCACTGTCACTAGATGGGAAAATAAATCTAGAACTTGTAGCCAAATGGCATTGCTGTAATCCAAGTTTCTTGGTCCGAATCAAAGGTAACAGATTTGGAAGAAGCTGAGAATAAACACTAAGGAAAATACTAAGGAAAAAAAGTAAAGGCGATGAAGAGAGCAATAATGGTAGAAATGACAAAGAGTTCTATGGTGTAAAAACTGAAAGGCAACAGTAGAAAAATGAAATGAAAATACACTAACTTCAGGCAGACCAATAGTGTAATTTTCGTATGTAGCATTAATAGGTATGTAAACTTCGCACATGACTTTTTTTTTTTTTAAAGTAAAGATACCTTAACCTGAAAGTAGCCTTCCTTCTTAGTTAATACAGCATTAAGCTTGTAATGGTGAACAGGAAGCACTAAGACAGTGGTGGCAAACAGCATCAGCAGTACAGCTCACAAAGATGAACAGCACGAACATCATATTAAAAGCAACTCACATTTAGTAAGCAAAGAGCATACTTTAAATAAATATATCTACCCTCAAATTGAATCGCCATGACTATCAACTACTCCCCAAGCAACTTTTAAAACCCAAATTACAAACTTTCAAAGACTTAATATTTCCATTGTAAACGAAAAAACCACACCATGCAAATTAAGACAAAACATACAGCTAGCATTAAGACAACACTGGATATATTTCAGCAACACACTTCCACAACAATTTCTTCTGAATCTAATCTCTCTCTTCTCAGAATTAGACTTCTTTCAAAAAAAGTTAGCACTTTTCAGACTAAAAAATCCAAGCAAGATTCATCATAATTTCACAATAATCCTAATAAATCAAACTTACCCTGATTTTGCACTACCACAAATGGTAAACAGAAAACGAAACAAAGAAAAATATAAAACCAAGATTAAACTGAAAACAAAGGTATACAAAAATAGACAAATAATGCATACAATTTAATTCTGTCACTATGTTTTGTTAGAAAAGACACTGAATACTGCTCTCACCCCTTTTGTGTACATGCTGCTCTCAGCACTATGTACCATTTGTCACAAGATTCTTCATCAACACAAATGAAGGTACTACACTGTGAATATATATGTTTCTATGTATAGCTAGCAAGTTAATTTCCAACTCTCACATACAGAAGCTTTCACATAAAGCAACCAACAACACGGCATCCACTAGGTATACTTTATATATTGGTTATTAACACATTCTGCCCTTCAAAAATTTACTAAGAAACTTTATGATCTACCTGAAACTGTACTTATTGTAATATTAAGACAGCATAGACTGCTCTACTCTAGAATTCAATTTGTCACTACTGTTGATAAAAATCTATACTGTTCCAAGAATAGGCCTACCACTATTTGTACGTGGCCAGATTAAAACAAATTAGGCAAGCAAGATGTGGTACAACTTTAAAGCTCTGCAGAAAAAGCAAAATATCACACTACAGTAAAGTGCGATTGCCTTCACTGTAGAAGTTTGAAGAAAAACAGCTGAGCCTACTGTTATGCAAACAAAACCACATTCCATTCTGACTTTTCAAACCAGCATGCTGCTGGTTTTCATTAGTAAAGTGACCAGGCATTATTTTTATTTGCTAATAGAACTTAAGTACTGCAAGAAATCTCTCTTGTAAAGAGAAATTTATCACATCGCCATTCTAACATACATTACTTAATCTCCAGAAGGCAAGTCAAAAAGTCAAAACATTTCTGATCTCAGACAGCTTTTTTAGCTGAGAGTAATGGCAGCTGACACAATAAAAGCACCAGAACTATAAAGTATAAACTAAGCTTTGGGGGAAAAAAAATGTAAAGAATGCCTGATCCTACTTATACAATTCAGGTGTTTCATGTATTAGCATATAAATATCAAATCAAAATTCCTAACAGTATCTGTTCTCACCTAGACCTTGCTGTATCTTTTCTAAGTCAAGGAATAACAGAACATGCAGTAGGTAGTCAGTGGTGAATTTCAAAGGTTTGCTTGGACACTTTGGAAAAAATTCTCATCAGTAGGAAAAAATAACCACTTATCATAGGTGCCTGAAAGGAAGTAGAGTCAGAGTTCATTAAACAGAGGAAATAAGGAGTATAAGGTGAAAACAGATTTGAATTGCTGTAATATGAAGTGAAAAATATCAAGATAATCATAAATAGAAGCGAGGGAAAAAAAACAACCAACACAATTAGCAACTACAACACAAAAGGAAACTGGTTCTGAGCCACTCGTTACAAAAGACAAGCCAATACATACAAGAATGCCCTGTAGTGAACTTTTCGTGCTTTCATACTGCACTCTAACAACAAGCAATTGTCAAAGCACTTTAGAAAGTCTTCCAAATGAATTGAATTCAAAGCAGGAATTAAATAAAATACTGGAGGACAGTTTGATAAGAGTCTGCTTTTAAGCAACAAGTATTCACCAACTAATCCTTTCCAAACTTACCAAGACTACACTATCACTAATGATCTGGAAAAACGAGGAAAAAAGAAATTAACAGAGGCTGAAGAGTCATAGCACCATACTGGGGAAAAATACCCAAAAACACAAAACTGAAAACAAAGCATTTTTGAACAAGGTGGTATCTTAATAGAGAATTAAAAATATTTGGTAACTTACTTTTTCTGCATTTTTCTGTTTTTTTCTGCCTGACCTCCAAGTTTGCTAAGGCCTAATGCATCCTGAGAGGAACTATCTGCCTCTGCCATGCCAACTGCAAAGAAAGAAAAGAAAAAAAAACAAAACCAAACAGTCTTGTTATTTTCTCAGTTTTGGTCACATGGTTATAGATAAAAATCACTATTGTTTCCTCATGCAAAAATATTTAATTCTTTGTAATGTTACTGACACTGTTTTTAACCAGGAAATTTCTTTCCACATAAATGGCAGATAAAAAGTTTTTCCCCTGTCAAGCCCATAAAATACAAACCAGATAAAATCTTTTGTACGATTATCTTACAGATGTGCTTGAGCTTAGAGTTTCTTTAAGTATTTATCATAATCGTACTTCATCGTCTTATACCACCTTCAGTTACCAAGAATCCTTTGGTGACACAGCATATTCAGACCTACAACAAACCCCAAAAATGTATAAAGGAATATTGTAACTAGAAGAGCAGTACAGAAATAGCATTGACTGTGGTGAACGGTGGAGTGAGGACAGCAAGAAGAAAACTGTGCAAATGCTCTTCTAAATATTTTTTCTGTATTTAAGTCTTAATGGCAAAACATTTACAGAGAAGAGCTTTACTGGTCATAGGACATCTCACCCATTGATGACATCTAAGCATTTGAACCAGGAAGTGATATGGATGCTTTGTTGGAAATTCCAAGAAGTGACTGTACAAAACCAACTGGAATATTTGTGAAGTAAATCATGACATGTTTACCAGCCCTGTTAAGTATTTCACATTGATTAAAAAGACTTAGTTGACCTTTAGCAGTCAATACAGCTGGTGATTTGGATAATGGAGCTAACTATCAATTTTAGCTGCACAGCTTCATTTAACTTCATTTGGTTTTACTATATTGCTGGTTGAACACCTATAGAAAGTTACAAAATGTAAAGGAAGGGTCAACTCTTAAGGGTACAGAATAGCATATTTCAAAGCATCTCCTTCATTGGAGAATTATGTCAAGACCAACATGGGAAATATAAAAGATCTGTAATCCCCTACTGAGGGTGGCTACAGCCACTGCATCTTTGCTCTGGTTTTCACTGCTCTCCCTGCAGATTGTCTGCCCCAACTTCATCAACAGCTACTTTCTGCTGACTGGATGGCACTGCTGAAGCCTGCAATCAACTTTTCATCACACGTGCCTACAGCTGTAGCTTTATACACACCATCACCCCAACAGATAATTCTTCTTCATATCCTCTTTGGTGAAACCACATCAAATAATTGTAATAAACCATGTCAAAACAGTCCCTTTTACAAAAAAGAGCTTTTATGAAACAAATACAAAAGAGATGACTTGCCATATAATATTTTGTCCTGGTGGATCACTTATGTATGCAAACGGCCAGAATCTTTACCATGTTAAACAAAAACTTTTTTGGATTTCATATACTCCACAATATTAGTTGTGTTGCTAGCACTGTATATAGCTTTCATAATAACGTAAAGGTCAATCACACTCAAATGTGTAGAGAGCAATGCATTTTATGCAGGAATCACAAGAATAAATACGCTTTCCTAGAAGAAAAAGGCATGCTAAAAGATAGCAATACCTGACTCACTGAGCTTGCACATAAAAAGACCTGCCAAAAGATTCAGTGTCTAATTTGATAAAACATGTACACAAGCAACTAAGTACTCTGTCAAATATACATATACTGACATACATCCTAAAATTCAGCATTTCGCTGAAGAAAAAAATAAAGAAGGCAAACCAACCTTGCCCTAATGCTTCCTTGCTTGTTTGTCCAGGTCGTCCCTTTTCTTTCTTGCCAAACAAGCGGCCAATAGAGGATTTAATCCCCTTCTTTTTGGGGGCTTTGTGAAGGGAATCTTGGCTACTATTGCTGCTACTAGGATTACTTGCTTGACCATCCTGTGAGCCGGTTGAACTTTCACAAAAACAAAACAAAGGAAAAAAGGAGTCAAACAAACTGGTTTAACTACACACTCACTGTCACTACATAGTGAAAGACAACTTCTGATTTCCATGAAAGTTCACAAAAGATCAGTGGCTTACTAGTAACATTTAATTTCAGATTTGATGAACATCACAAGAAGAAACTGATATACCAAGATAAACAGAGAAAAACATTAAACATTAACCACGAAACAGAGAAAAACAAGGGAAAGAATAGAAGGGGTAGGATATTTAGATATTATATAAAGGAACTTATTTATTGAAGAATTAAGGTGTTTAAAGTGCAATTCAGGAAAGCCAAAGCTGACAATGCATTTCCTTTCAAATTAAGCTGACAATGGAAGTTTGAAATGCTTGAAAATACTTGAGATGCTTGAAAAACCGCACACCAACTGAAATTATTTTTTCAACTTTCTTATTTATAGATAAACTGCAATCTGTGAAAGAGGATGTGAAGCACACACCTAATGCAGACTTGATGCCAAAAGGATCATTCACAAAAACATTTCCAATCATTAAAATCTGTACTGTTTATTCAACACTTACTCATTTATGTGGTCTTATTCTTTTATTTCTTGAGACACTGACATCTAGATTAAAATCTAAAATTGCAAAGCTGCTCAGCCTATAAGAATTTTACTCTGATGATGTGAAATAGCAACTAACATTACTAGTAGGCCTGATTTATTCATAGCTACTTACTTTCTTATGTCCCTGATATCTTCGTGGCTCACCGTATGCAAAGCTCCTTTTTGGACTCTGTCCAAACGCAAAGATCGAGGTGAAGAAGGTGGGGATGTCTCACATTTTATTGTCGCTTTATCATCACGTACCTCTTCTCTAGAAGCTGGAGACTAATGGAGAACAAATGAAATTTGAGGGTTTTGTTGGAATACACTAAAATATGAAAGCAATATTAACAACACAAAATACATTAGAAGGAAATTCAATAATTTCCAAGTTGAAGAGTTACTCTTGCCCTTACTATTCTACAATTGCCTGGTTCTCATTCGAACTTCTGAATTATTTTCTTTTTTAACCTTGACTGACAAACCACTACATTTCAGACTTAGCTAGTGAAATGAGCAAGCAGCCATCTTTTGTTCATTCACAGATCTAACAACTAAAGTAATGTCATCAGCTCCATGAAACTAACATAGCTGGCTTCAGTTTACGCAAACTGCAAATGCTAATAAAAGGTTCTGGGAAAAGAAGTTCTTGCTGTCGTGTTTAGATAAGCATTAGCAAAACTACCAATTCTATAAAGTCAGTTTCTATGTACCTGTAGCCTTGGCTAATCTTCTGTTTAAAGAACAGAAACTACAATTTGTGTATGCATTAATAGATCCCTGAAATTAAATACTGTTTCATTACGATTGCAAAACAGCAACTACAAACAACACAGCTGTACCATGTAGCAGCAAAAATAAAAACAACCTCAAAAACAAACGACCAAACCCACACTTTCTGCTAAAAGCCATTTTACATTTAATGTCAAAAAAACTTATAATCTTTATCATACAGTTAACCAGCAAATTCTCTCATATGCTTCTGGTATCCATTAACAAGTTGAGAGAAGAGTAAGCGAATGAAGGGGCACAGCAGTAAATAAACTAAAGATTTTACCTTTCTACGGTGTTTCCTTAAATCACTAGGCTGAAAGATGCGTGCAAAAAAAAAAATTTGGAAAGGCCATATTTATTGTAAACTGTAGCATAAACTGAAATAACTTCCACAGACAAAATACAGCAGGGCGAATTTAAAACAACTACAGCAACAGCACAGAGAAACATAAGAGAATGAAGCATTCTTCAAATCACAGCAGTATTTAAAAATGTATGCCTGAAGACAGAAAAGGAAGGAAAATAATCAAGGTTTATACTTGATTGCCTACAGATGTACTCTAGATATTTCAATATAGTGGTACTGTACACAAAACTAGCACACAAGATGTGCACTTTCTCTTTAGCAAGAGAAACAGTGGAGCATTTTGGGGCATGAGTTGTTTCTTTTAAAACAGAGCATTTCCAGTCTTATGTCAAGGGCTCTTCTCCCTTTGAACAACATGACCTACACGTAGCAACAGCAGGCACAGAGCTTAACAACTCGTCAGTATTATTTCTTTCCCAACACCTTAGCAGTTGCGCTAAATAGCATAAAAAGCAGTCAAACTTTAATAACTGTGGAAGAGCACCCATAGCTCATTTCGACACAATAACAATGCTCTTTTCACAAAGTGTAATGTGATGATAAGCTTGATTCAGTTTCTACTGTCAGTTTCACCTAATCCTCCACCTGCTCCAGAACCCACTGTATTTCACTTCTTAGGTACTTCTCAGTTCCGCTACCAGTCAGATCAAGATATCAACCTTGAGTTGTGTGAACAACTTTTCAGGTTATTCAGGTTAATATTGACAAAAACTAAACTTAGATTATTTGTCACCATTGTATTTGGCAACTTACTATTTCAGAACACTGTAAACCAAAAATAAAGTCACAAAAATAGCCAGCAGCCTTCATATATTTTGCTGTTTTGTTGTTGGTGGTGTTTTTAAAATCAATACCAACTTCTAAACATCTTCTAATTAGAATGGACTACACAAACTACACAAAATTAAGAAGTTTTGTTGTTGTACTATGACTGTACAGTTGAGTATAAAACAACTTCTGAGAGAAATAACATCAGATTCATATCCAATTTTCTGGCTTTTTCCTCTATTAAATTTGATACAAGAAAAATCTGAAAATGTCTGCAATATCGAATGAAAAATATTCATGCAAATTGTTGAAGAGAGCTATATAAGCTTCAGAATTGATTAAGTTGATAGCTTTTAAACTAGATTAAGAGTTTTCAGCTGAATGTACTGCCCAACACTACTTTAGTTATCTAATTAAGCTAATGCTTCCATCATACTCAAACTACTGCAGCTGTCAAAAATTGTAAGAACTCATTCTGTCTCATAATTCCCAGTAGCTTTTCTAAAAGTTTCTAGAAACCTTTTGTTCAATAATTCTAGAAGCACAGCTTATTATTGTGAGAGTAAGGATATAAAGCAATCCACCTCTTGAAATATGTTAATTTATGCAAAATAAAGATGTGCTTGACACTGGATATATGATCTGAGCCATTATAATTTGGTTTTGTTTTTTTTTTTTAATACAAAAATGGCAAACGATTCTTTTTTATGGAAAAAAACCTTGCATTACATACAAAATTATTACACGTTCATTACAAAAAGCTGGAAAAATAGGTGGCAGAAATGCTCTTTTTTAAACTCCTATCAGAGAGCTAGATTAGATACAACGATCTGTTGCAGCCTGCCTGCCGTTGCAGTGTTGGATAGCATTCCTTGTCCACTGAATCTTACAGTCATGATACAAGTGCAATAATCCAAGACAAAGTGTAGTAACCATGACGTTGCACATACAACTATTAAGCAAAGGTTCCAAATCTGGAGACAAAGTAATGTATATAGACAGAAGTATTTGTTTAATTCTGACATATTTCTCAGTGAAACATGTTCCATCTGTTAAGGAGGTAGATTTGTCTAAAATTTATATAAACAAGAAGATGGAAAACTGGTCTTTCTTTCACAGGTAGACTTACTGAGTGAAACACCTCCTAGAAGGATTAGTTTTCCTAAACAGTTGTAGAAAGGTCAAAAGAATGGATCCATCCTTCCCTACTCACTGTAAAGACCAAGCTGCTACTACACCAGCTACTAAGTCTAACATACTTACCTACATGTTTAATAGGCTAAGAAAAGACACTAGCACTCAATATTACCACAGCTGTAACATCTTACAAACTTCAAGATTAATATAAGACATGCAAATTATGCTTTAGTTGAATATTTAGCTAAAAAAAAAAAAAAAAAAAAAAAAACAACCTAAAGCTTAAAACAGACAGTAACTTGTTGCTGGAGTGAGGGTTAAAAAGAAAACATTTCTTCCAGAGAGAGTAATGAAGAAAAATCACAGCAAAAGGAATACTTCAGTATGAAATGCTGACCAATAGAACTGAGTTCTGAACATTTTGTTGGGTTTTTTTGGTAATCATTATAATTTTACCTCACTCTTTTTACAGAAGTTGAAAGGAAGCAGTAGAAAAAACTAGAGAAAGGACAAACAGAGGTAAGTAAGAAGCAGAGGAAGGGGAAAATCAAATGCATTTCCTACAGGAAAAGAACAGTCCCCTGGAAAAATAAAGTTAGTGGATACTTACCAGTGTCATGATACCTAGTCTGTCCACTTCCCTAGCTGGGCTATGCGGAATCCGCCTTGGGGTGGAGCGGCCACTGCCAGGTGGGGAAGAACCAGCAAGGGAACCACTTGCATAGGGAGGAGGAATGGAGCTCATGGACCTGAATCGGCCATGGGCATCCAAACTCCCACTACCCACTCTGCTTTCAATTTCCTCTGCACGCTGTTCAGTGTTCTCCTTTTCTTCCTGTATAAGCCTGAAAGAAAAAAGGGTTCCAAAGGAACATGGCATTCAAACAAGTACCATATAAACAGAATGGCCCCACTCAAGCATTCTGAAAAGCAGCAGCACTTGACAGACAAAACAACTGTACTGAAAATTTGGTAATCCAATCTGAAAAGAGGTTGTAAACACTACAACTATTACCACCATGCAAAGGTTTCTGTCCAACTAGCAATACAATCCCTTCCACAAATGAGACTGAAGACCTGAAAGGAATACTTAAAAAGCACAGCCAATCTAGTTTTTTTGTTTGTTCATCAATTCCCGCTCTCCCAGTCCCCCAAAGGAAAATGAATGAGCAAACAACTCTGTGAGTAACCATATAAAAAGGATTTCTTGTGTTACACATTACTTTTCAGTAAAAACGTAACAGCAGATATGCCATACCTAATCTCTTTGTTAATTGCATCCAGCTGTTCCTGAAGCATCATGGCCAAAGTCTGAGCATCAGCCTGACCACTTGGTGACAGCAGATCAACTGAACTGAATATAGTCTCCCTGTCATCCTCACCATCAGACACATCGACATCGCTTTCAAATGCTTGTGCCACGTTTGCCAATACACTTGCTTGCTGGGCTCGCTCCCAGTCCTGCTCATTCAGAGTTTGAACCTGTTATAGGAGAATTAAAGAAAGACTCAGATGTGAAACGTGATATTTCTCTTATTTTTCAAGATGTTTAAATAATTTTTTTAAAAGTCCACTTACGTGCTGAATGCATCCATCAAGATAACAACGTTTAGAGAGATGTAAAACAAAAAGCTATGATGTAGAAAACTTTGCCTCTTACAAGTAAGTACAGTTTAAAACAGCCAGACCCAATAGATAAAACACCATTATCTTAGCTATACGCATTCTCAACAGATTTTTGCTAACAATGAAAACACATTCAAATCAGCTTTTTGTAAAAGTCGAACTTGCAAGACTGGGTTGCAGGACAAGAAGTGTTAGATTAGCGAATGAAAGTTGACATCCAAAGTGTAGAGACACAAAGGAAGGACTCTTTCATGTTATATTGCACAGATTTTTCATACTTAAAGGAAATTGGACTTTACAGCCCCAGAATTGCAGACTGGAATGGAATGACTCAGCCTAGTAGCCTTGTATTAGTGAAGCAGAATATCTAAACACATCTTAAAATGTGTTTTCATATACAAGATCCAGCCCCTTTATTGCTGTGTAATCCTATTCCACCAACTCCTTGCAGCTTGTTAACATCATCTAATCTGCTTTGTTGCCATCACTTCCTTTCAGAGTTCTATTACCTTTGAAGGTTCATCTCTGAGAGCTGCCAAACGCCCTTTCTGAGGACGCCTCAGCACAGAAGAGGTGCCATAAGAGTCTGCATGACTGTCAGCCACAGATGAAGATGCCATCGGGTATCTGAAATCTGGCCGGCTAAGACAGGAAGAAACACTATCATTAGCAAGATGGGGAGAGGAGTGAAACAAGCTAAGAAACCTACCCAAATGATTTTCGTTGTACCCTCAGTGCTTTTTTTTTTTTTTTCTTTTTTGAAGTGGTGCAACAGCTGCTTTATCTGCTCTATAAAGTATGTTTTATAGCTACAACTGAAGTGTTTTCATTTACAATAGGTAAAGTTTTTTGTTTCCTCCTTTTTTTTTTTTTCTTCAGGAAATCAGAAAAAAAATCATTGAACTACAATTAGGTGCTTGTACCTATGATGAAGTGATGTGGCTCTGAGTCTCACTTGGTCATTTTCAGCCCTTAGTGCGTCAATACTTAATATAAGTTTATCCTGTAAAAACAGACACAATATGTAACAATGTGCATTAAAAAATTCAGCATCAGATCCTAATATATAAGCAAAGATTTAGCCCACTGATCTCATTCCTATGAAACTCAAATATAAATAGTTTTAAAACATAGCTTTGAACAACATAAAACCAAAATGATTTTTGCTACAAAGCATAGCACCATCGCAAAAGGTCATCCAAAGATAATTTTCGGCTCTCTACACTGTGACTTTGTATACATACTCTAAAAGCAGCTACTGAACAAAATTCACACATTACTAATCTTAGGAAAATAAAATGGCAATATTTAATACGAACCAAGATTTGTCAAGTTGTGAAAAACAAGTCCTAAAAGCATCCACTTTTAACTCTACTCATAAATGCTGTAAAAGATGAATTTAACAAAGCAATCCAATGAATGAGAGAACAATGAAAGCCCGTGGAAAGTGGCTGATGATTAACATCTGTGCCTCGTGTGAAAACTAGTGGCCTACATAAAAATTTGAAGCACATCCTACAAAATATTCTGAATATGTTCTTCATTTTGTTACACAATCACAGCCTCCAATATTTTGGCCTAGCTACTTACTAGAACGATCTGGGGAGATGCAGTACTCTTGTGATTTAATAAGCAATAACAAGTATTATTTCAGAACAGTGTGATCATAAAATGAATCATCACTGCTTAAGGAAGCAAAAAAAATGAAAGGCCCCACCACTATTATTCAAGAAGTGAATTTGCCAGTTACAGAGCCAGTCACTACTGCAAAGGAATAACCAAGTCTAATAAATCTCTCTCTCATAATTTTAAGACAATTTTATCAAACAAGCATCTTATGATATCCACTGCTTTAAGTATACACCTAAGGGAAAATACCCACTGTTATTAAAGTATTTCTCTTTTCTTTTTACTGTTCATAGTTTTATGTATAAACAGCAAAAAAAAAAAAAAAAAATACTATGCAAACTTTAAACTTCAGCAAATTGCCAATATATCCATCCACTTTGCATATTCAGAACTGTGTTATGTCTGAGGAAAAAAATAAAATATCTATAAAAACAAAATTGAAGCAAACTGTATTACAAAATAAAAAAATTCAGCCCTCAAAATTGTTATTTTTGGACTAAATAGCATTAGTAATGTTGAGCTTTATGGGGCAAGCCAAATCTGCTTCTGCTATGCAGCAACACAGCAATTATTTCCCAACATAACATTTCAGAAATGCATATTATACCTTCTCATGCTGAAGTTCCTCTATTTGTTTTTTTGCATTTTCAATTTCTCGCAGAAGTGAATTCTAAAACAAAATGTATCACAAGTTATTTATAAAAGCTTACCACTCCTAAACCATAACCAATAGGAGTTACTAACAAACTTTGGTCATACTGTACAGATGCATCTTAATTTAGCAGATAGTTTACTTCTTTATCTACTATGTTTAGCGGGTACTTTACTTTTGAGATCACATCTCAAAAAATCTTTTACATATACAGCCCTGTAAATGATGGATTTACTAACAGCAGAAACTTTTATATGTATATGTATATACAAAATACAAATACTTGATCAAAAAACAAATAGTAATTATGCAGCTAAAGAACTTTAAATCTGTTCAGTCTTTGGTTACTAAGGTATTACTGGCTATTATCATTTTGCTTTTGAATTTTCATTTTGCTTTCACTTTTCTGATCAACAAAATTACTATAACGCAAGAGCTGTTTCCTTCACAATTATGTTGCAACTTTTAAACAGCTCCAATAAAGGTACTTACAACTACTATAATCTGTTTGCTCAAAACAGTTCCCAAATTCAAATTAAGAATCATCTGAGAGCTACAACAATCAAAAAGATTTAACTAACGTGACCACAGTACATGATTTTAAACAAAAGTCAAAAGATTCCCCCTTCTAATAGTAAATTTATAACCACCTCATGTATTCTTTGCTTTCCAAAGTTGCCAAGAAGTTCTGCTAAGCACATTTCCTTGAGATGAGTAATACAATTATTTGCATTTTAAACCTGTAATAAGATTTCGTAAGCGAACAAACAAATCATTCTGGGAAAAGAGCTTCAGTGATCAGAAGGAAAGTACTGAAGTTTTATATGCACCTTTCTTTCCAATTTATTGGAAGAATGAGCTGGAAGCCATTCCAGGGAGAGTTTTTTCTAGAAGCTGTTACTGACAGTAAGGAACAACTAAATTTCTCTCGTTATTCATGAATGTAGCTCAAATTTGAGGGAAAGATAAGTGCTTTAGGTTAACTCCAATGCATCCTTCCCAATGTTGGCCATAGTAAGAAAAAATGCCATCAGCTGCTTCTCAGAAATTCAATTTATGAACACTGTCAGAGCAAGCTTAACAGTAAGGCCCATAACAAGAGAGTCAGAAGTACTGGGAGCAGCTGGTGATCTTGAAAATAGCAATCTTAAAACCTAGAAGGCAAAAGTCTATGGCCTTAGATATCAGATAACTGAGCTCCCAGTCCATGACAGGTGAGTTGGAAATAGATGATCTTTAAGGTCCTTTCCAACTCAAATCATTCTATGATCATACAGGAAGCATTCTTCACCGTTAACCCAAAGGACCAGAACCAGCAGGACCTGCATTTGTACTACAGTACTTGATTTTTTTTCTTACCCCCCAGAATGAAAAAGCTGGAAAAAGAGAAAACTAAATCTCTGATGATCTGAGGTGTGGGCAGTTCTACTACTCTCAAAAGACCAAAAGCTTAGGGATTAGAACTGACTTAACATGAACCCACGAGAAAGTAAACACCCATTGAAGTCTGAATACATCACTATAAGCCACTCAGCTTTTACTGAGGCCTTTCCCCAGCCTCCAGTACAAGAAACTAATTGCTTACTAATCCAAGACAAAGCAATTCCAATTCAAAGTACTACCAGTAAAAGGCACTGGTTTTTTTTTTTTTTTGGTCACAGAATAAGAGAATTCTTAAGACAGGCATGAAAGAAAAACCCTTGAGGACCTAGCTCCAAAAGCAGAAAGGAATCAAAGGTAAATATGTAGTAAAAGAGGAATTAAACATAGGAGAAGGCTCTGACACGTGCACCAACAACACAAGGAATAGTTCCATTATGTTTGTATAACCTGTTCATGTGGGGGAGAAGACACAAGACTGTCTCAACCTGCAAGAATTCCGTAATGATTTAGAGTAGCCAACACAGACAAAAGCTGTGGGAAACAAAAGGAATCTGAACTGAAGAGGTCACATTTCAAGTCCTAATTCTTCAGACTTCCGGTATTACACGGGACAAGCCTACTTATGCAGTCCACATCAGTCAACTAAAAAAAAATAAAGCATCCTAAAAGATGTGATCTCAATGCATGTTTAAGGTCTATCCTTTACCCCTCCTCTCCCCCCCCAAAAAAAAGAAATTTTAAGAATATACTTCTCATTACAAAATACAGAAATCGCTACAGAATGTTGAACATCTAATGAATAAACATGCTAGGAATGTGACTTCAGGTTACCTTATCTTCCAAGGCAGCCATCCTCTCCTTGAGATGAAGCTGAAGCCTTTCATTAGATTCAGAGAGTAGCTTATCCACAGTTTCTGACAAGCGTTTATTATGCTCTTCGTTCATCTTCTCTCTCTGTCTAGCCTAAGATAAATAACAAAAATCAAAATTCTTACGACAAAGTTACTGAAATAACTTGGAACAACGTCTTGCTGGTTGTAAAGCGGTATGCTTTCTTAATCTGTATTTTTCTTTAATAGAAATGGTTTTTCCAAAGGGATAAGAAATACTGCGTGTATCCCCAAGACTCTGTAAGGGAGTATAAGGGACACAAGATTTTAATGAGCATTTGAGATCAGAAGTTTGAAAGTCCGAGCTTACACTTTAAAACAAACCAGATTTCAAAAGCAATTAATTATTTATAATCTAAAAATCATTTATGCATGCTCAGTTACTTCAGCAAGATTTCTGATCAGATTTCTTCATCAGAAAGTATACTCAGAATGGATAACTAACAACAAGGTAATTCCAAACTTATTTCAAATCGATCAGAGACTTTCAGCTTTTCCTTGAGACTGAAAGTTAGCCATAGAAAGCAGTCCAGATCACCCAGCTATGAATCAACCTAAACTCTGATTTATTTTAGAGATGAAACGAAATCAGCTTTGCTGAATGGTAGAAAACCATGAAGAGAATCAGATTTTCAGCTTTGTTTCAGTGCCAAAAGTGTGTATCGTACCCTCTGTAGTTCTTGATTCTTTTCTTCTAACTGTGCTTCCATCTGTCTCAGTCGCTCTTCTATATTGCCATGCCTCTCTTCAGCCTGTCAATTTAAAAAACAAAATCAAAAATTTTTATTAAAAAAAAAAAAAAAACTTTCAAAGGCATAAAAACATCGAAGCATGACAGTATATCTAACATGCTTTGTGTAACTGCCATTTATGATAATATACAATGCAGAACTGATGCCTTTCTCTCACTAAGAGTATCTAGTGTGAGAGTTTGCATGTTACATAACAAGACAAAGCCTCTCACCACTAGATCCTGTGAATCAACTCTTACTTGCAAATGATTTTGTAACAGATTTTCATTCAAAATTCCCAAAAAGCAAAAAAAAAAAAAAAAAAAAAAAGCATTCTCAACTTCTCACTAGCCTAGACACTATGAGTTTTTGTTGTTGGTCATGACAAAGCAGAAAGCAGCAAGCAGAAATGAAGACTAATACACAAATTCTACCTTCCTAAGTTTGGTGGTAAGTTCCAACACTTTAGCATCTTTAGCAGCAGAGTTCCCAGGAGACAAAAGCTCAGACTACACAGCCAGTAAGGGATGGAAAAGAAAACAGGGAAAGAAAATAAACTAAGACTTTAAAGAGACACATGTACAAAAAGGCTCATTTACACTCAACACATTACTTCAGATTCCACTACTCCACTTGCAATCCTCCAAAAGTCTTTATACTGCTGACTACCCATTACTTCTCTCATCCTACACGTCTCACTCTGTTAACAGTAGAATAAAAATGTTTTTCCCCTTCAGAAATTGCTACTTACTTTAATACCTATTATTGAAAGAATTGTAATAAAACCTAACAAAGTAGCAGTTCAAAAAGGCACCTCCATAATGCAACAGGGCAACAAGAAAAACTAATCAAATTCCAGAGAGAAATTAAAGACACAGGACAAGTCAGAGTGCGTTTCAATAGACGAGCAGAAATAATCTCTGAACTGGCTGGGGAAAAACTAAAACAGATCAACAAAAACAACAGTAAGAACAGATTTTTTCGTAGTGGGACAATAATAGAGAAAAAGATCTCAAGGACATTGTCCAGTTATCTTACCTTTGAAAGTGCTGCAACTCTCTGTGCTAGCTCAGCTTCCACCTCTGGTAAAGTTTCAGCTTTTCTCAAAGTCTGCTGCAGCTTCTGCTCAGCTAGTTCCAGCCTTTCTTGCAATTGCCTGTTCTTATCTTCACTCTACACAGGATTATGATCAGCAATTTTTAGTGTTAAAATGGGAATCAATTTTGATCAAACACAAAGGTAAAGATACAGTTTACTGACTTTACTAGAACTAAGGACAACAAGCTATCCAAAACTGGTCTCATGAACAAAGAGGTGGCATCTTCCCTTTCAACATATGAAAGCCTTATTTTTTTTTTTTTTATTGCAAATATTTTTGAGGATTCCAAAAGCAATTCTATCACTGAACAAATATAGTAATGGTATGGGAATTATATAGAAAATATTGTAAACTTTCAACGACAAAGCTCTGCTAAAAGTGAGTTATACTAAGGATAAATTCATTTGTCTTTAAAATAACACTATGCATGTTACCAGAAAATTTATTTTAAAATATAAATGTGTACAAAACTTATAAAAAAATTACAAACAGTAACTAAGCGTTGCCTGGCTTCCTCCAGTTAGAAAGTGACTGGCTAAATAAAGGACAAAATCCCTCCTCTGGCATGATCAAGTCACTGAAATGCTTAAAAAGCTCTTCTCCAGTATACTCTCATCTTCGTTTTCAGGATAAAGCTCTGTACAATACACTCCCTACCAAAAAATAATTATCAACAACAGTGCACTACAAATATTTGTTTTCCTAAAAGCAAAGTGAAGCGCTTTGGAATAGTACAAATATTATTTCCATTAGTACTATGCTAAGCAAAAGGTACTGAGCAATTTACAACCTGTCGATGCATGGAGTCTTTAGTGGCTATTTCATTTTCAAGTTTATCATTGAGGTCATGCACAGATGTAGCTTCACGTTGTGCAGCGAGGTAGCGTTTTTCAAGAGTTGTAATTCTCTCTTCCATGTCCTCCTTCTGGGCCATAGTCTATCCAAAAGGCAAGACAGAATGTAGTCTTTTAATACTGGGGATAATTATTTACTGATCAAACAACAGAGCACACAACTTGAGCATAATTTGTAACTTCAGCTAATAAGTTCAATAACTCGTTTTTAGTGGTTTGTTTAAAGCCACTGATCTTTACTTAATGGATGGTCAGAGTGTCCTGAGAACTAATTAAAGGTCCCTTTCAGTTTAATAAGGATACATCCTCTTCCAGACTACACTGTAAGTCATATTAATTTGAAGGTTAGTGATGGATGGGTAACAGGAACTGTCCACCACATCACTCAGTGATACTATAACCGCATACAACTTCAACAACAACAACAAATGAACACGCATACAGTCAGCATCTATGACAAGATAAGTATCTTTCATGCTTCAAGTCCACAAAGCTAGATCTCTAGTTTAATAAATTTACTTGAAGTGCCTATTTAATAATAGGCAAGTTCAGCAAACAAATTTTCTTAAGGAATTGAATTTTTTTTTTTTTTTTAATAAAAGGACCGTCATGCTGTAAACAGTTATGCCTTATCTTTAGACCAAAGAGCATCAAGGATTAACTGAGCACCAGCGACAAATATTATAAAGCAATTACACTCATGACTACCCAAATTTTGACAGTTTATTCCTCACCTCTCGTACATCTCTCTGCAATTTTGTGTTCATCTCTTCAGACTTTATTAAGTCTTTTCTAGCTGTGTCAAGATCTTCTTCTAGCTCTGTTACTCTACTAGATAAAGCAGTAAGGCGTTCTTTCATTTGTGTCTGTTCCTTGTTTTGCTTATCTATGATGTCTTGGAGTTCAATCACTTTAGCAAGATTTTCATCATGGCACAAAGAACCATCAGAAGAGCGCTATTAAGGAGAGAGAAGTATTTACATATGATATAGAGATTTGAAAAATGAATTGTTAGTTAGCAGTAAATATCCCACCCCTGAAATAATTCTACTATGAATTAGACTGCAAAAAGCAAAACAGGCTTTTTGATCACATCTTCACTCAAAATCTTTCGTTATGGTTTACAATTAATATATTCTGGTTAATCTTAAATAAATAAATAAATAAATAATCAGGCAGCTTAAAGCAAATAGCTCTACCTTCCCATTTGTAGTTGGTGTATTTTCTTGTTCATGATTTATATCCAGCATCCCATCTGGAAGCATTTTTTTCTGATTATTTTGCTCTTTCAGAATCATTAACTAAAAGAAAAGAAAAGCTTATGTAAGTTTCAAGTTTAATTTCCATCTCAATAGTAATATAAGGAGCAGCTGTAAAAGCAAAGGAGCAAAACAAACTTACTGCAAGGTATGTATAAGAAAATATGTCACAAGCACTCAAAAAATATGCCACTGCACCCCAACAGTAGTTGTTCTAAAACCACAGAAACTATGTTGATTTTTTTCAGGCTTGATATTTTTTCCTCTCTCCTCTTCTGGTCTTTCACAGAACGTTACGCAATTAAAAAATACAGTTATCTCCACTTGGTAAAAATTTAAATCGCAAAATTGAAAGAAAATCTTTAATAACTGAATAAATGACAAGTATTGATTAAACACTCACATCCCACACCTGAGGAATACTTTAAAGAGAAACCTACCTCTTTATGCGTAGTACCTAGTTCTTCTTCCAATAAACTACATCTTTCAAGTGCTACTCGTAACCTCTCCCTTACCTGAAAGAGTCATTTCAGTGTTATCAAATTATTTGAAATTAAGAAATCAACTTCACACACTGCCACACTACCACACACTTTCAGGTTATAAACAATGCTTTATTTTCACTGTTTAGAGATCAGCTTAATTTCAAGTCAGTAGTAATTACAACAGACAATACAAAAATAACTAGATAAACAATGAATGCCTCAAAATTTAGCTTTTTCTTTTTGTCATTATCAAATTACATCTCAGCATGACCTGTACGTATAGGCAAGAATTAAACATATCCAGAATTTACCCACCCTTTTGTAAGGCACACAGCATGCATGTTTTTGCTTATTCGCTACAAGGAAGAAGGAATATACATCTCCTGAAAATAACCTGCAAGACTTTGTATACAAGTTCACAGAAGCTGTTCAATAAACTAAGAGTTGGCAGCAAAATTCACAGCAAGTTCCACCATTAGCATTGCCTGCTGCTAACATCAGGTACAGCTGAAGGGTGGAGCTCCTTTAAATCAGCTTTATTTAATAGCACAGCATAAGCAGATTTCTTTCCTCTTGTTCTCTCTAGCCCACTTGTTGTATTACACAATTAAAAGGCTAAATCCTCATATTATACAGGTAAGTAAACATACGTGTTCCTCCAACAAATACATAAACCAAGCATGTTCGGATGCAACATTAGCACAGAATGACAGAATGCTGGAATAAACTACAGCACCTTGCTGCAGTACAACACCTTTTCTTGGGAGTGTGGTTACTAACGCAGTTTTAGCACAGCCACCATTTTAATATAACAACTTAAGTATATACAACTGTATGGTTCACACTAAGAAGAGATAGGATTTTTAAAACATTAACCAGCATAGTTATTACCTTTTCATCAAGGGCTTTGTGGTGTTCAAATAAAGATTTTAGTGCTTTGAGAACTTCTACTTCACTAGAAACTCCTGCTGGAGATTGAGCTTGTCTCTTCACAACAGTCATTCTGAGAGATCGCTCATGCCTGGAGACAAGACACTCCAAATGTTCCAGTAATAGCTAAAACAAAAAGCAGCAATGCTTATTCCCATTCTGCAGTTACAGAGAACTGCGCCTCCTAAAACACCAAATTCTGACTTCTAAATTTCAAACAAATATTATTTCAAGTCCAAGGACACATATTAACATTTCATTCCTTTCACCCATACTAGAAGTGATATCAGAGCTAATGAATTCCCTATACTCTACATGGTTTTAAAATCAGGTTTCTACTTAACTGAGCCTTTCCAGTTCTTCCACCAATCTGAAGAACAGTGTCAGAAGGACACACAAACAAAATACTCTTAACTGTTCTGCTGTGTAGCTGTGTAATCTGATGGCAAAGACTACTACAGCTTGCCCACTCTAGTCTTATCTGGAGTACTGCACATTTTCAAAACTGTAACTAGAAGAGAGCTGAATGACAGACAGTACTGTGATCTTAAATGCCTTTTCCTGATTCTGCACGGCAATATCTGGAGCCATACATAAGCTTCCAGCCCTTCTTAACACACATTCACATCTGCAGGATGACTTATGTGCAAATAGCAAGGTAAAAAAGCATTTAGCTTTTCAAATTCAATATTCAGTGTTTTTCCTCCACGTAGTTGGATGCTTCAAAAACAGTGACCTTGGACAAAAAAAAAAGGAACTAACCCTAGTATTATTTCTTTCTGCTTTCAGTTCAGCAATTTCTTCTTCTCTTTCAAGCAGCTGTTCCCTGCATACATTTAGCTCTTTCGTAAGCGCTGCAAATTCCTGAAACAAACCAGACAAACGTAGATACATTAAATACTGGGATGTAGCAAGAGAGGATTCATACTAACACTTGACGTAATTTCTTAAAGAATTTATTTCAGATGTCTAAAACCAATACAATTGTACAGTCACGATAAGCAGGCTTAAGTTTCAATGCTTAAAACAGTTATAAAGTAACAATAAAAGACTCTGGAACAGTAGTTTGAAAACTTGCTTCTGTCTTTCCAGTTATCTGAGTCATGGTAACCCTGGTAAGCAAAGAGAAAAACCTGTTTCTATTGCACTTATATATTGTTTCTAAGGCTTGGCGTTTCTGATACAAAGGTATTCCATTGAGCAACTGAAATAGCTACTACATCCTAAACTACTCCATTCTCTAGCAACAGTGTCACAAGAAATATAACAGGCACTGGATCAACTCAAAGAACACACTCTGGATACAATGTAAAATACAACCACACAAGACTGTCATTGTGCAAATGCTGAGAATTATCTTCCCTTCCAACTCAGTTTGGTCAAATGTCAAGTGTAACTTGAATCACATTGAAAACAATTATTAGTAGTAAGTCTAAACATAAACAAGGTCATACTTTAGAGGACAGCATTGTAGAAAACAGGGTTGAAAGATCATTTTTGTTATCAGTGCCACTTAGGCACTAATGAGAAAATAAATGCACATCAGTCACCTCAATGACTGGTGGACATTACTGAAGTACCCCTACAAGAAAAGACAATGAAATGCCAATAAATTGATTAGTCTTCACTAATTCTCTACTTTCTATGAAAGAGAAAGACCAAACACGTCTGTTAGCACATAAGTACAGCTGCACTGCTAAGACAAGGGAGGTAAGGCTAAGAATATACCACGTAAACACACTGTGCATAAAAGCTTTTTCTCCAATTTTTCTAAACTCTGCAAGATACATTGCTCAATTGACAGCAGCTGCCTATCAAGTAGAGGCTTAAGATGGTGCTGTTTCATAGTAAAATTCAAAGTGACAAAAAGCCATGCTTAAAACAAAAGGACACATCAACTAGTACAACTACTAGTGCACCCACAAAATCTAACTTGAAGCTAAAACAAGAAGTCTAAAAATATGTATTAAATTAATTAAGCAAAAAATTTACAAAGCTTTAATCTAAAACACATACAACAAAAGAGAAGAAATTCAGTAGCATGATATATTGCCTAGAGTGAACTCCTTTAGGATTACTAACACAGTAGGCATTAAGAAGTTGCTGTGACCAAAAGACAGCACCACCGCAGATGCAGAATCCTTCATCATAACAACTCCTCCTAAATAAAAATTTATCATGCATATTCCAGTCAAAATTTGTGAGTGAATCGTGACTATTTCACCTTTATACCTCTAAAGTAATTTTCACCATCCTTAAAAAAAAAAAACGACTTAGGATTTTCAAGAAAAAAAAAAAATGCTGAAAACACACATACTAGGGCATCCAGGTCAGTAAATTCGTAGCTAATGACAGCTTTAAACATGCAAAACAAAACATAAAAGATTCTTGAGTGCAAAGTAAACCAAAAAAGGGAAACTCCTCCCCAAGCATTACAGGAGCTGGAGGAAAAATTTACTCTGCTTTAAGCTCTGCCTACAGAATTCTTCTTCCTGTTGGAATTTGTACTGCGCCCCCAGTAACCCCATGGGACTTTCTACGACTCCCAGGCAAATGACAGCATGCATTTCTTTTGCTCCAGATACAAGCACAGGTAAACCCAGCCGAGATTCTGAAGGTGTAGCTCTTCACAGGTCCATCTTGTTATTTTTGTATATTATGCAATTGACTGTTTTCAGGTAGTACTGAACTACTACAAGTACTAAGACTCAACATATTTCCAAAGGAGCTTGACACAAACATTTTATGGGTTGTTTTTTCCCCTTTTTCAAAAAAAAAAAAAAAGAAAAAAAATCTCCCTTCAAGTGCCAACATCAAAATCCAGAAGCATGAACACTAAGTAAGGACTTCAGGCTGACACGGTGAGCTCTATATTCCTCCCGACTATCTCAAGTCTAGAGAACAGAACAAAGAAAGCAGTAAGGACTATCAGACACTGTTTTGCCATCTGTCCTCAACTTAGTAACACTGTATGGCATTAATAAAAATGTTACTGAAAACAACTGCTGATGAGCTCTGTCTACAGAAAAACAGTGTATATTTCAAAAGGAAGCTGGTTTACCCTTTAAATAATAATTACAGACAGTTCTGTTCCATTGCATTCTCCTGTGCAAATATAAACTGTAGCACAAATATATCATAATTCTGACGTGAACCATCGCACTGTCAGGTGACCCAAGAATAACAATGCACATGAGAATTTATACTGCTGCTCCAGAAACAGACTGACACGTATTTCTAGCATTGCGTAATACATTCATTGCTGTTTGTTTTTGCAAAATGTATTTGCTTTGAGTCCCATAAGCAGCTTCAGAAAGAACACTCAAGTGTCCTCAGTTTCAGTTGATGCTGCCAAAAGACATGTTCTTTCTAGTTTAGATCACTCTCTTCAACGGCAGACAGTTTGCGATTTCCTCAAGCAGTTCAAAAGGAAACTATTCACAACTTCATTACCTAAAAACACATTCTGAGTTGTCTCATCTTCTCCAGCATTAAATCAGTGTACAGAAACAAACACAGGAAACAAGACAATTCATAAGAAGCTTTTTTACTTGTCCAAATACTGTATTACTTTGTACGTAAAGACAAACTTGAAAGTTTCAGAATTGAAGTTCTGCTCTGCTTTCCAGTTGCAATCAAAACAATAAACAGTCTATTCTAAAAACTGACAGGAGTGGGGACTCAAAATAAGCGCAACAGAGCATTTACTACAAGAAACAGTGTGCCAAATATACCAAATAAATATCCTCTGTTGTTTAGAATGCACTGGCAAAAAAACCATGTAGTAAACTGAAATGCTTACTCAAGAAAGTAACTTTCCGAACCAAATATGACACTGTCAGAAAAGAAAACTCAGCAAAAAACTAAATTCAGTGGAAGTAACTTTGTTGTTGTTCAGTAATTCATTTTCTGGGTTTTGTCCACATATCCTCCACAGGTTTTTAAAACAATGGCATTTCTTCAGGAAGAAGTGTCTGTATTCTGGGCACAAGGTGAAAAGGAAAAGCTGCCAGCAAGACAGACGTGTGGAGCGATATCTGGAACTTTTTTCTAAGACTCCTGCTGTGTTTGTAAGTAAAAGCAGTGGAGAATCTCATGTCTCAGCCCTGGCCTGGTGGGAGCACATCTGAGCCACAGCACAGAAAATACACCAGCAAACATCATTTGGGCAGGCATGACCCATGCCTAAAGAACATAAGGACAAACACAGTGCCTGAGTGACCATCCTTCCAAAGCCACAGCTTTTGGGGGTGATGCAAAGCATTCTTTTTCTATTTGGGTGTTTCTGTTCAAAGGTTTTCACTCCAGCAATTCATTCTCTGGTGACAGCAGCATCTCTGTGTGTGATGCTGTCCACCTTCCAGCGCACTTAGCTGAGAGGCAGCAAAAGCCCCTGCTGCATCGTATTCTTGTGCATTTCCCTCATTTCTCAGGACAAGGGGAAATGGCCTTAAGTCGCGCCAGGGTAAGTTTAGGTTGGATATCAGGAAAAACTGCTTTACAGAAAGGGTTGTGAAGCACTGGAACAGGCTGCCCAGGGAGGTGGTTGAGTCACCATCCCTGGATGTGTTTAAAAACTGTATGGATATGACGCTCGGGGTCATGATTTAGCGAGGGTTGTTAGGGCAGTTTGGTGAGGTCATGGCTGGACTTGATGATCTTTAAGGTCTTTTCCAACCTGAGCAACTCTACTGTATAAGAACTGAAGTAGCACCAGCTGATCTAGATGTCAAGCCTGTAGAATTGTGATGTCTGATCTGATACTTGGCTACTTAAAAGACGATGGTGGTCCAGGAACATAACAGCTTTCAGGTAACAGATTTTCTTCACGTTTATTACGAGTATACTTTACAGGTTCCATGGACAGTAAACTGCAACCCATTAAATGCTACATGATAGGAAAGATGACACTAAGATTTAAAGAAACAGGTAATCCCTGTCAATCTGACAACAGAAGCTACATAGCAGGGACACTCTTTCTACGGTAACTGCAGAGAACAGTAGGGTTGCTTGGGATTTGCTCAAACAAAAGACATTTTTGCACAAAATACAAGTGCCTCTCTTAAGCAAATAAGAATTCAAGATTAAAGGTATGACTAGAAAACTTATTTTAAGGGTAAGAAGAAAAACTTTTAGCTTATCAAGAAAATATTATATATTAAAAACTATCTCCTGGCAATACAAGGATGAAGTTGCATCTTTAGGAACATCTCCACCCCAACTACGTGAGCAACATTTACCTGTTTAATCCTTAAGTAGCATTCTGTTCTACTGTTAACATTCTGTTCTGTAATCTGCACATCAAGCAACCCACACAATTATCCAATATGCTGAGAATATAATAAGTACAACAGAGGAAAAAAAAAAAAAAAAAAACAGGCCATCAGGGATGAGAAACCAAGGTAAATATGAGACAAGTTTCCATGGTGTTACTCATATTACATGTAATCCATGCTTATTCTAAATAGTGTGTGAATGAGAGCAGAAATGAGAAGCATCATAAATAAAACAATCAAAGCAAACCTAAATATCTACACTTAACAGGATATTTAATAGTCAGCTCATTTTAAACCCAAGGGTTGTAGGTAGCAGCAGTAGTCAATATCCCAACATACCAGGTTTTAAAAGCACACATTCAATAAAACTTAACTGTTTAACAGAATCTGGAGGGGTCAAGTAACAGCAAGCAAGTTTTGTAGCTACTGACTCACATCAGTTAGCTTTTTCAGCTGTCAGGATTATTAAATAATTCAAGAGCAGAGCTACAACTCAAAAGCACTTGCATGTTTTGATCATTAAATCCTGCCTTCCAAGAAAACGCAGAAATCCAGGAGAAACAATAATCAATGTAAGCAGTGCTTTGT